GTTTGAATTGAGTTGAATGATCAATATCTTCAAGTTGAACTGAGAAACAAATACTTTTGACTTGAATTCAATAATATATTGTCTTCAACTTGTCTCGAATTGAATAATCAATATCTTTGAGTTGACTTGAGAAATAAATATTTTTGAATTGAACGGAGAAATATATATCTTTGAATTAAATTGAATAATCAATATCTTTGAGTTGAATTGAGGAATAAGTATCTTTGCATTGAATTGAACAATAAATATCTTGAATTGCATTGAGAAATAAATATCTTTGAAATGAGTTGAACTAAAAAATAAATATTTTCGAATTGAACTCAATAATAAATATCTTCAACTTATCTTGAATTGGATAATCAATATCTTTGAGTTGGGAAATAAATATCTTTGAATTGAATTGGGAAATACATACCTTTGAATTCAATTGAATAATCAATATCTTCAAATTGAAGTGAGAAATAAATAGTTTTGAATTAAATTCAATAATAAACATTTTCAAATTGAATTGAATCATCGATATCTTTCAACTGAACTGATAAATACGTATCTTTTAATTGAATTGAGAAATAAACATTTTGGAATTGAACTCAATAACATCTTCAAATTGAATTGAATAACCACTATCTTTGAATTTGATTCAACAACAAATATCTTGAATATCATTGAATAATAAATATCTTTGAATATTATTCAAAGAGCTATAAGTATATATTAATTAACACTGGTAATCTTAAAAAAGTGCTTGATATCAAACAATTGTTCATCTAGACATATTTCAGATTATCAATAGCTGATTGTTACTCAAATAGTTATAAATGCTTATTAACTAATATTTTGATATCAGATAGCCATATATACAAGCATAATGAAGTTAGCTCAAAACAAGAAATAAACAGTAAATTCATCATGGCCAAAGCTGAAAGAGCTGATACTGGGTATAATTCTCTCCGAAAGTCGTATTTATGTTTTGTTTTTAAACTTTTTATACGAAAAATTCTTTCGCATTTGAAAATGGGACGCAATGAGCAATTATTTGATGCTTCATATCCCATGAGAAAGAGAAAAGGACGAGAAAAAAAAGATTGACTAAGATGAGTTTATAAAGAGGAAGAATAAATTGAATATCATTCATCTTGCAACATACGTCATCATTCGTCGATTTAATTAATCTATATTCTACAAGGAGTACAAATAGAGTAGTTAAGATTGTTTATAAATTTGTTTATATTGAAAAATGAAACGAAAGACTCCATTCACCTCATCAGTAAAAAATAAATCTAAATCAAGATCAACACAACATATAGAAGATAGTTCATCAGATGATCAGTCATCTAAGCAAGTAATGGAAGATAACTTAGATGAACAGTCAAACGAAAAGGAAGTAGAAAAGAAACAAACTATTTGGGATCAAATTACTCGAAAGCAATTTATATCGGCTGTCAAGGAATTAGGATCCGATAAAAAACAACTTGATGAGGAAACATGGCGTTTTAATGATTTCACCCGTTCTGAAGAATCTATTTGGAGCCGTTTGATATCGAAATTGAAATTAAATCAAACAGAAAACATACGTCAATCTTTGTATAATGTTCGACGACGACATTGTCAAAAAATTGCGAATGACCTGTCCGAAATTCATCAGGATTCTGTTGAAAAAGTTAATAAATCAGACAAAAAAATTAAAGTCGAGCTTCTTTTACCGAAATCTGTGAATAAGTCTACAGCGTCTGATGAGTCTCCTCCACATCTACCGACTCGTTCGACAGTTCAACTGGAATCGAACACACCAAAAATAGCTGAGGAATCATTCATCTTCACGTTAAAAGACTGGAAAGACATTTACAATACCTCCACACGCGAAATGGAACCAGGTTGGACAGACATAATGTATGAGAAAGTGCGCTCATGTAATTTTCGTTGTACCTTAGCTTTCAAAAACCATCATGTTAGTCTTGAAGGGTCACGTAAAATAAATTCTTCTTTTTTTCGTTGTATAGCTGCGTGTAAGACACCTTCATGCAAGTAGAGGTGTAAGCCGTGCGGCTGAGCCGCCGTCGTCGCCGATAAACTCGAAAAATTTTAAACCGCCGCCGCCGTGACAGTAGAAATTTTAGAAATTTTTAAGCCGTCGCCGCTGAGGCACTTTAATTACAGCCGCCGCCGCCGGCAACTATTGTAAATATCGATAACATTTCATTTATATTTTCCTTAATTCGATACTTTTACATCTTAGAACCCCAATATATCTCTTTTTCATTAACTTTCTCGCCTTCACCTTCACTTTCATGCTGGTTCTCTGACCAATCAGATGCTTGGGGGTTCTAAATTGTGAATGAACCCTTAATTCTGTGTTGGTTGAAAATTCTAAGTTATCATTTTAGTTTATGTCTCTTATATTAGATATATTTAGAAATACAAGAAGAGACGAGCATTTTAAATTTTAATTAACAAAAACAAAATAAAAACAACAAACTTGAGTATGCTGAGTGCTTTTACTTATTAACAATCGTGGTGGTGATTTCTCATTTATTATTTATCCTGGCAATTATATTTATTTTTAATTATAGACTTTTTTATTATGTCTAGATGTGAAATAAAGTTTTTCCACATATGTGTTTGAAAATAAAAAGGCCAAGATATTGAAATAGGCCTTGTCTACACTAAAAATTTTGACGCTGAATTAAGAAACATGATTGGTTGAACAGTTAGTAAATATTTAAAACACTTTTAAAAAGTGCATTAAATTTATTGCACATTTCAGAACAACATTAAATTTGATGCACCAATCAATGTCTGATTCGATTTTCTAATGAGACTGACACAATTTTCAATGGACGAGTCCTCTATGATTGAAGTGAACAAAAACCACGATTCATTTCGACGTCTAGGATTCTGATTGATGCATTAACTGTCAAATGTAGACACGAATTGATGTAACACGAATTTGATACTACATTATATTCCTAGTGTAGACAAGGCCATAGACTAATATTTTTATGATAATGTAGTACTTTTTAAACTTCAAGCCGCTGCCGCTGAGACACTTTAATTACAGCCGCCGCGCCGCCGATGGTATTCGAAATTTTAAAATTTTCGAGCCGCCGCCGCTGTGCGACCTTAGAATATCATATCTGCGCCGCCGAGCATTTTTAAAAAATTTTAAAAAACTGGCGCCGCCGCCGATCAGCCTATCGGCTTACACCTCTACATACAAGCGAACATTCGAAGTTTTTATCAGAGATGAACCAACATACAGAGATAGTATTGTTGTTCACATACGAGCTATTAGAGACGAAGACCATAGTGCAGATGAAAAGGCAGTAGCACGACATTTAACTGGAAAAGCTAGACTTGAAGTTGGAAAGAAAGCCAATGCCACCGGCTGCTTAAAAGTCTTCCAACAAAAGGTTGAAAATGCTAACGAAGAAAGGGTGTGGGTGTGGGTGTAGGTGTCGTTTTCAACCACACCCAAACCCACACACCCACACACCCACACACCCCACACCCACACCTACACCCACACACCCACCCACACCCATACACTCACCCACACCCACACACCCGCCCACCCACACCCACACCCACATCCACACTCACACCCACACCCACACCCAGCCACCCACACACCCACACCCACACCCACACCCATACCCTATGTTAGCTGTACAAGATGTTGCTGAACGTTTTCGTAGATTAGGTATAACTGCATTACATGTACGACTTCGTGCAACTGGTGGAAATAAAACCAAAACATCTGAACCTGGTGCTCAATCAGCTTTTCGTGCTCTTGCACGATCGCGGCTCAAAATAGGTAGAATTGGTTTGTCATTTTTTATTTTAATATTATTATTATTATTATAAAATACATCAATTTATTGTAGAGGATGTAACACCAATACCATCGGATAGTACACAACGAAAAGGTGGTCGACGTAGTCGTCGTTTATAAAAAAAAACATCGTATATATTTACAACACACAAATTATTTGTTTACATTTAATTAAAATGTGGTTGTTTTTTTTTGTATGTTTTATATTGTTTTAAATTATTGATGTATTCATTTTCCATCTCGATGAATAACAGTAAATGAGAAAACAGTAAACATCAACATCAATAATTGATTTTATTTTTTCTTATCCTTAAAAAAACGAAAAATTAAAGAACTGAAATGTTCAATTAAGAATTAAAGTGAACGTCAAAAGATGAATGTCACACATCATTTGAAATATATTGATTTATATTTTCATAATTAATCTAAAAAGAAAATAAAGTTGTGCCTATCCATCATTTATTTTTCATTTCCTATGCATAATATTCTGTCTATGATAGTAACAAATAACATATTTTATATGTTTAAAATTAATAGAAAGAAACACACACAAGATTTTTCTAATAATATTATTTTTGAAGTTTAAACATAAATAAATTTAAATATTTGTTTTTATAGTATAATAACAATTAGATGAATAATCAACGTATTAAAATACACTCGAATATAAACAATTAATGATACATATGTTATTATTATTCTCTAAATAAGTATTAAATGGACAAATTCGAGATAATCACTCTTGATTAATCGGAATTTTACTTCTAAAAGGCTGTTTGATAATAATTAAATATCAAAATAACGATTGTTTTAAATTTAGACTCTCGTTAGTATTGTCAACACTCATTGCTATTTTGATTTTTTATTTTCGACTCGATAGGATATTGTAGATTTAATGATATGAAAGATTGCTATCTGTTGTCATCCTATCGAACTTTAGTTATTTATCTATGATTAATCTATTGATAACATATTATATACCTAAACTATGACAAAAGGAAAAAAAAGACATTTATAAACTGACTTTCTCCTCACATATCGTGTTTAAGATATTGTTCTTACTCTTATTATCAGTGCCATTTCATGATAATATATCGCAGATTTACTAGAAAACTGATGATTTCTTTGAAAAAAAAAACATTTTCTATAAATTCATTTTTGAAGAGAAATATTTGATAAATTGATAATTTTATTATGTATGATTAGTTAATTTTTGTCTCAAACATTAATTAATATTTCTAATATGATTTTATGAATAATAATTAAATCGAAAATGTCTTGTGTACATATAGTTAGTGTTGAAATAATTCGAAAAGATCATAAATCTTTTTAAAATCAATTAAATGAATTTAACTATAAGTTATGTACACATGCTTCTTTACGAAGTCTTTCTCTCGCAAACTGAAGATTACTGTTTAGAAAATAATCCAGACAGATCAGCGGGTCATAGTATTTCTGTTATTGATTTGTGCTAAAACTGGAAGTTTTCAAACTTTTAAGTAATACTTTACCTGGGAATCAAGAGGTTATCCAAAGTCACGCAAACATTCTACCGAAATTCACCTCTTTAAACATAAAACACGTTGCTTAAATAAAGCAATTCTCAAAGAATACCTCAAAGACTATATTCATATTAGAAGACAGCTTCGAGAAGGATAATGTGAAAAATTTCAACACAAAGCAATAGTGTTCTATTGTGGAAGAGGCTCTAATCAATTTCGATGATTAAAACTTTGTTGTAGCTGTTCTATGTTCATAATATCACTTTATTAGGTTTTCTCTTTGCATAATAATTAATTATAATCACAATGCTTTTGGTTTGTTTTACTTTGCTGTCGTTTTTGACACCATACTGATAGCTCGCTTTTGATGTTCCGTTTTAATGAATATGAACCCTCAAACAAAGAAACTCTTTTTTCTTAGACGGGGAAATTTTTCATTTTTGTGGCAGATTCTGCACCTCTGTTACATACTCATATTTATATTTTTATTATTACAAGAAAAGATATTATTCAATAATATGTCATTTGAAAGATTGACACAAGTACTCAAGGTTCATATAAAAGAAGTTTAGTTAGGGATTATTTTCTGTCTGCATATAAACTAATTTTATCGTCTTTTAAGACTTATGAAACATCCTGTAATTGCTAAATTTTCTATCGTTTACTGATAGAAACTTTTGTGCTTTTCCAAAAATTCTCTACTTTTATTGATAATTTGAATTCTTTGGAAACATTTGAAAACGTGTTATCTAAAAGAGTAAGAACGACAATTATGAGATAAATTGTTTGAAATAACTCAAAATAAGAAATTTTCATTCAATATATCAAATCCTACACAATAATTTTATCTCTGAAAATGCTTATTCCTGACAGAAGTTGAAGACTACGATGTTATCCATATAAATATATATATATATCATATAAGTATGGAAGGATATGAGTAAAATAAAAGATAACATTGATGTTATATTTTTCGTCATAAAGTCATGTTCATAATCGAGAAGAAGCTTTCAATCCAAATTTTTCTTTCATGGAGAAAAAACAAAAACTGAGCAAAAAAACATACTTTTCTATATCATGTATTTCTCAAGATTAATGAAAATGTTATAACAAAAAACAAATGAACGTTTTGGTCACAAAGAAATCATTTTTAATAACGAGTACTACTCGATGTTGATGTATGCTGAACATATTTCGAATTCTATTAAAACACCTATATAATTTTCGTCGACAAATGTCCGCCATATCACCAATAAATTCCAAAATTCTCGTAATATTGACAAAAAAAAGAACGAGTAACACACCACCACTAATAACACCTTGTACGATACCAGATTTTGTACTAAATTTATTGACCAACAAGCCAACAACGAAACTAATACCGCTTGCAGTAATTAATTTTTTTTACAGGATGTCCTTTAAAACAAAATTCAATTCAATTATTTCAAACATAAATTAAAATGTAAGTCTTAAGAGAGATTTTATGAGCTATCAAGGAAAGTCAATTTTATGTAAAAACTGACAAATACTTTTTTTTATATCTTCTCGGATTAGTTATCATATTGAAGAATGACTTAAAATCAAAAAAAGTCTGTTAAAAAAACAGAGTTTCTTAGAAAAAGTGGTTTTTCCATATGAAGATTCAATTTATGAGAAAACTGTAAGAAACTTTATTGAGGCTTACGTACGCTTTCGAATGAAACGAACAAAAACTGGCAGAGATATAAGCTAAAGAATGGAGCTATCATTTTTCGATTTTCCTGAGATCTCTCTGATGTTTAAATGTCGGTAACTCCGGTAAATAACGTCAAAAGATCCTAAAAAAATTTTAATAATGTCAGTTTGATGAGAGAAATCAATTAATGTAAAAAAAAAAAGAAAGTATATGTCAGCTTTTACCATAAAATGATACAACTGACGGATGCTTCGCCGACTCTCAAAGCCTCTTTTAAGCATAAAAGCACACATCCATCCATACATACATGCGAATGAAAATTATCATTTACTGAATCTTTTTTTTTTCTTTATTTCCAAGCCATGAGCAGATGCTATTCCATATTTTCCATTGGGCAGTATCTAAGCACAAATAAAAATTCCGTATCTGAAATCGCTAAGAATTGGAATAATAATAGCCTATCTTTTAACTCTTGAGAAGCTCTACGAATTCTGTTACAGTGATTTATAATCACAGGTAAATGACACTGATAGAGGTCATACTGTGAAACTTGAAACACATTCAATAGGATATATCTAGTATGACGACCCTTAAATCAATATAGAATCATCTAGACTCTTTTCATACAAGCCAAATCGACCTAGTTTTTCACGCCAAATACGAAATGAATTTTACTAGTAGTCTTCATTTCTTGGAGCCTAATGGCTAAAATAGAAGAAATGGCTTTTTTATCAAAAACATTTACCCATCGATGCTCTTTATATATGGAAGTAAGCATATCTCGCCTCGGTCCGTATTATTTTTTTACAAATTTTCAGTGTTGCTTATTCGAACTACGATGCTGCTTTTTGTGCAAGCTTAATCTTGCGCAAAGATGTATTCTAGGAATTTTAACAATTTATTGCAGCAGATCTCTGTAAAAAGCTAAAACTTCGGAGAAAAATTATTAAGTTTTGATTTTTGTGTATTGTACAATTATCCTAGAAAAATTGAAAATAACTTTAACCCTTAGGGAATCAACTTTTTCTATAGAAACAAAACTAGATTTTTGCTTACAAAATCAGTTACAGTTGAAAGCTGTTAAACATAATTATTTCATTCAGATTTTATGCAAAATATGGACACCATTTATTTTGAAACGAGAGAAACAAAATACACATTCAAGAAGTATAATACACAAATTTAATAACATATGAGAATGGAAATTAGCACTAAAAAACACTTGACACATATAGCAAGAATTAGTCGACTTTTTAGGTCTTCGATTATTGTGCGTACATGCAACACAAACTGTCTGAAGAGTCTTTCTGTGATTTTTTAGGTACCAGAGATGTAAAATGTCTAGCAGTATGTCTGATTGGTTGCTTACTTAGTGTAGCCTGACTTATCGCTGATGACCGATTACACTAAGCAATATATATTGATTATACTTAAACTATCCATAGCGTCTATATGTGTCACATATGCTAAAATAAAAAATCCATACTGGAAAAACAAGTTTTTGTGTATTTAAGGGCTTCTCCCCTTAGTCAAATTTCAAACCCGTTTATATATGGCCATGTTTCCAAAAGGGTAAAATTGACAAGAATTATATGTGCTATACACACATATTTTGTAGAATTATTTATCTTGAAATAAGCAAATTTTAGAAGGAAATGTACGAGCAATACGATCGTTACCAGAATCAACAGTATGGTCTTGACAAATCGGCTTAAAAGCTATACTGAGCGGAAATTTTTATCGTAGGTGTATCTCACTCAAACTAACTATCAATCCAAATTTTATCTTATTCGGAGAACTTTTTTGTTAACCGGCAGCATCGTTTCGATCAAATTGACGAAACAGAAGCTGAAAAGCAAATAGAATCATTTTCGAACGTCAAACAGTACAATAAACACAAGAATCACTCATATCTAAAGATAGTTTCAAAAAATGATGAAAATCCTGTTTTTCGCTATAACATGAACGTATCTGAAACCTTTAGGCATTTACGTACCTAACGTGAGCCAAGATTGATCAGCAAAACGTTCACAGTTCGTGAATAATTCTTGTTCACCTAAAATAACATGTGAATAAATAACTATCTCGTACCACATACGACTTACCTAGTACTAATTTTCCACGTTCAATTACTTCTCGTGCTTCTTGAAATCGTTTTAATTGCACGAGTATTTTGCTAAAAAATAAACTCAACTACCATTTTACACTTGTTTTTGGCAAGTTCATATAAAACTTGCAAAATAATTGCGCGAATATTTTTCTTCTTCTCACCTCATTTGATGTACGAATGTATGACTAATATAAATAATATACCTTTCGAAAGAAAGTTTCTTATTGACTGATAGAAAAATATTCCTTTCTGAACATGCGTATCAAAAAGATATAGTGATCAATATCTCGTTCCTTTTCATTGAATCTTAGGAGAAGTGCGAATTTTTTTTAAGGGTGTTTGTCTTTTCTGTAATGTAATTCCGTTCATATGCAGCTGATACAAATAAGATATATATGATTCGAAAGACGAAAATAATTCTCCATCTTCTGGCAACAAAATTTTTTTCCAGTAATAATCAATTTTTATTTGATTTTTAGTATGGATTATTCTACTTAGATTTTTATATAACTCACCATTTTTGTATATAACCATCTATATTTCTCTCATTTATTGATATTGCTTGATCACAATCTTCTAATCCAACTAAAAATCAAACAAATTTTGAAAGAAAAGATAAAATTATCAACAAGTTACGCTCGAATTGTTTTGCCAAAAGATGACATGCTGCACGACCCGAGAATAATGAAGACATTTCATCATTTTCTGCAGTTCCACCCATTGAAATCATTCGTGTATATATCTAAAATTATGGATAAGAAGATAATTCAAATCTTTTTTGGCAATCAATAGAAAAATCTAGTACCCGCACAGCATTAACATAGTCACCATGAAGAACAGCAGACAAAACATCTTTCATATCCTGCATCGATCTATTCGTCATTTCGTTACCACTAGAAGCCATGAAAATCACGTCTTACCGAAGGACAACAATTATCTAAAGAAAAAAATAAATTTATTAAAATAAAAATATTAACTAAAATATAAGTAACCACTAGTGCTGAATAGTCCAAGGTCTATCACGATGAAATAATTTGAAGTACTAGCAAAAGTAATAAAACGATCAATTATTATTGATATAACAAGAATTATCTAAAGAAAAAATAAATTTATTAAAACTAAAGTATTATATAAAATATACGTAACCACTGGTACTGAATAGTCCAAATTCTATCAAAATGAAATAGCTGGAAGTACCAGCAATAAGTAACAACACGATTAATTAATATTTATATAAGAACTGTTATCTGAAGTAAAAAGAAATTCATAGAAATTAAAATATTAAATAAAAAATATGTAACTATTGGTACTGAATAGTCCAAGTTCTATCAAAATGAAATAGTTAGAAGTACCAGCAAAAATAATTATCGGCAGAAAAAAATATAATGCAGGTATTGTTCAATAGTCTGTACTATAGTAGAAGAAATTACGTTTCTTGTCCGTGCTTGTTTACAGTCATAAACAGTGGAAAAGTGGTGCAAGTAAAATAATCTTGTTCATTCTTTCATTTTGTGACTAACAAAAAGGTTTAGCTGTCGTCTTTTGTTTCGCTTCTGAGAGGAAGGCTATCTAGAAAAAAATAATAGCTGTTTGTGATTGATTTGATTTACTATGATTATCCTTGTTATGTTTTGATAATTATCAGCAAATAGATAAACAGAAATAATGATGTCGCTTGTATACAGGTAGAGAAAGATCGATGTATATAGATGAAAAACAAATCTATCGGTCGTTTTTTATTCCCTTGTTCCTACTGATATTAAATTTATTGAAAAAGTTAAACAATTGTCTTTTTAACATAAAAATATTTAAGTTTGTTTTGAAGATCGTTGTAAATTTTTATCGTTTGAAAGAAATATGATTCCGTTCGTTGGCTGGTGCACGATGACTAAGCGTTCATTTCTAAAAGCTATAAGATTTAACACATCTGTGCACTAAGTAATACACAAATTTTCTGGAAAAGAAATTTAATTTAAATGAACCGCAATTTTAAGTTTGATGTCAAAAAAAATATATCTCAAATCGTGCACAGAGAAAATCTCGTGTAACTTTGTCCTTCAATGAATACTTTAATATTTTACTGAGTCGTTTAAAAAATCTCGGTAATAATCGTTTCAAATACATGGGTTGTCTATATAAAGAAATAAAATCTCTGAATAAATATAAGACAGAAACATGTCTGTCAACAAACCGATATTTTTTGTTGTTAGTATTGTTATCGTTTTGCATTAAAGAATTAACTATTGTTTTATTTTTTTCCTTTACTTTTTTCGATAATGGTTGACTAGTGGATAATTGACTTGTTTCTTGCAATGAAAGATCTCTTTTGCGTTTAATTGGATTTATTGTCGTCGGTTTCGAATGATTATTGATATCAGTTGTTTGTTTGTTTGATTGTGTTTTTTGGATATTCGTATGTTTTCTATTATTATGATTTCGGTTTTCAGCTTGATTTCGTTTCATAAGTAACTTTTCGATGATTTTTGGTTTCATGCCTTTTGCACGACATTTTTTTCGAAAACGTTGATTACGTCGATTACCATGACATTTTTTTCGTCGTACATGAGTAGGAAATTGTTGATCATTGTTTGAATTAGTATTGTTAGGATTCATTTTAGAATCTTTAATCTTTCAGTAATCGTAAAATTCAAAATTTATCTAAAAACAAAAAAAAAGAGAGGTAAGAAGTAAAAAAATTGCTAGTAAACTAATTTCAAAAAAAAACCTAATATAATGTTTTTATTTCTTTCAAAGTTATTAGTTATCTTTAACACAAATAGATTTTGCTTTAAATATGTATATACATCTAATACGATCACCTATTTTATTACAACGTTGTTCGATAAGATCGATCATGACTGGTGATATTTTTTCATTATCACAAGATGACCGACGGTCATGCCACAGTTTTTTCATATCAGCATCGAATTTCTTATTACATTCATCCATTTGAATTTTTGCTGACTTTAAATAGAGACTTAACATATTTTGTTTCGATTGTTCAGCTATTTCCTTATATTGATTGAATAATTCTTGTCGAATATTCGGATCTTGAATAGAATCAATTAATTCAGATTGAGATATAGGTGAACATTTAAAAGAGTGACACGATGAATTATAATAACTAATTTGTTGTTGAAGTAAATTATATTCTTGTTTTGTAATCTCTTGTTCATATTTACTACAACAAAGTTGTTTCATTAATTGTTTCTGAAAAAAGAATTCGTAAATCAAAAAAAAAAATTTTTCGTATTTTTTTATTAAGTTTATTTACACATACTTGATATTCATTTGGATTATAGCGATAATATTCTAATTTTAACGCTTGTATATAATAATCATAATGGATAAGTTCAATTTTATGTTCAATTTCCATACGAAAAGAAGACAAATTTTGCTGAATATATGTTTCAATCAATTGTTGAAGTTCTAATGGATTTACATAAAAACTAATTATTTTCTGATTCAATTCAGTTTGATATTGTTTTAATTGATTATCTAATTCATGTAGTTTATTACTAATAAAATTAATATAAATGTCGTTTTCATTTGTTGCATTCATTTTTATTGATTTTTGTTTTATTATTATTTTAATTTCTTTGGGCCATACATGCAAATTTGTTAAACAATTTAATTGTTCTTTCGATTGAATAATAAGTTGTCCCGTACCCGATTTTAAATAACTGATCCATAGAGAATTAGAAATTTGAATGACTATAATCTTATATATTAAAATGGCTATTTGTCGTAATTCTTCTTTTATTTTATTTTATATTGCTACATTCGCCGTTGTTGATATAACTTGATTTATCATTTGTTTGAAAGATTTACTTTGTTTTGATAAATAATCTGGAATTTTGTTAATTTCATCTGTAATATCTTTCATTATTACTGGTTGTACATGATTTGTAATAGATAATTGAGTGAATTTTTGGGATAAAATTTGTTCTTCTAGTGGCTTAAAAAAGTTACAAGACAAAAAAAATATATCTTCTTAGTCGATCCAATATTATTTACTTTTTTTGTTTCTTTTTAATTGTAACCATATTGCCAAAATCAATACCATTATTCCAATCCATTTTGTCGATATTATTCATATAAACATCATTTTGACTTGTATTGAATCGATTTGAATTATCATACTTAAATACAAACAATAGTTTTTTTTTCGTAGGAAATCAAGTTGTTTTTAGAATTGCTTACTTTTTCTTTATCAATTGTTCGATGATTATTTATTTGCATTCTTTGATCATTCTTTTGTGTTAACATTATTGAAGGTGTGAGTGTGCCTGAGTGTGAGGTGTGTTTATATTAGAGTGTAATCAGTCGCTAGCAAGACCAGTTTCGATAAGTGCTAAAATTAAACTTATGAATTATATTTGATTAAAAGAATATTTTCCTATGTAAATTCCTCTATAATATTAGACTAATGCCGAAAGTAATAGAAAACATATTTCCAACCAAAAGTAAAGCAAAAATGAAAATTATCAAAAAGTTTTCTATGAAAAACAACTTCTAATAATTAATAGAAGATTCTCCAATAATTGATCCTGACTAAAGAATCAACATACCTGATAGAAATTTTCAAGAATGGTTGCAATGGTATTTGTTTGAAGAGATTGTAGTAGAGATTGCGATGTTGCAGTGGTTGGGTCAGTCGACGATATGAGTGAATTGCTTGCAGAACAGGGGTATTTATACTCTCGCTGAAACACACAGCACAACAAATTATGACAAGAAATTGTAACATTAAACTATGACAAACTACAACAAATTATGAGAGACCACAACTAAGCTTCACAGACAACAACTTTCTACCACAACAAACTAGCCATAAAGACAACAAACTTTTTCAAACAACAATATTCGCTGATATGTGACAACTAATGATAGTGTACAACAATATCGTATCATTGCCAACAACAAACAGTTACATATAACAAGAAATCTTAACATAGAACAACAACGTATGATATATAACAAGAAACAATAGCTAACGACACCTATCACCCCAAATAACACTAAACAAGCGTAAATCACAACAAAGTATTATCAAAGCCAACAATCTATCATATACAACAATAAATTATCACAAACAATAATAAACTATTATGAACGTGAAAATCTGGTGTTTAAAAACTGCAAATCACTCGGTCGAAATTTTCATTTATATTCGAACTCGAATTATGCAGCTACTCACCTTATTATGGACATAGATACTAAAAAAAACGATTCTGAGAAGGAGTCTCCTAAAATATCTTCTGTTTCATTTATCTAAGGAGAGTCTTCTCATGCATCAAAAGATTATATTTGTTTGATGTATTTTTAGAAACTCATGTTTTGATATTTCGCCGTTCATTCAAAGTTGGTCAACAAGTTCAACAACAACGAGCTGCAACAATAGTTACTCCCAAACTTCAACAACAACAGTTCAATGGTGTACATACGAAATAGCATTTTCTCTTATCTTTTTTTTTTGAAATAGACAAACTCTCGTTTTACTATTGTCATAACATAGCACATTGTAGCATTGAGCATGCGGACACATTTTGCTGCTCTCTGTCTTCTTGAAATAAACCAAAAATTACTTAAAAAATTCAAAGAATCAATAAGTTCTTTCTATTCTCCAACGGACAAAAAAAGCCACCTTTTTGCATTTCATTTTTTACCACATAATACACTGTATAAAAAGAATATACCACAAGATGCAGCGTGAAAAGAACTACAATCTACAAAAGACAGCTTCTTCTAAAGGGACACTTTTTGTTTTGAAAACAGACAAAATTCGAAGCCACTACTTTTTGACTTTCCGAAAAAAAAGAAACTTTTGGTACCTGATCAATTAGCTTTTTTTCATCCTTTCATCATCTGATATGCTTCACTAAACAAACAAAATGCACTACAAGATGCAGCGTGAAAAGCTCTACAATTTACAACGAACAGCTTATTTTATAGTTGTAATTTTCTTTTTGACAATGAACAAAACTCTGTGCAGCTAATGGTACCAAAAACTTTTTTTTCGAAAAGTCAAAAACTAGTAGCTTCGAATTTTGTCCATTTTTAAAACAAAAAGTACAACTATGCAAGAAGCTGTCTTTTGTAGATTGTAGTTCTTTTCACGCTGCATCTTGTGGCATATTTTGTCTTTTTAATGCAGTGTATTATGTGGTGAAAAAATGAAATACAAAAAGGTGCGTTTTTCTCTCCGCGGGGAATCGTGTATCTATTCATAGCTATATTTATGTGTACATCTACGTACGTATTCTCAATATATACGTGCATACAGAACAAGGGTGAAGTATTTTCTTATTTTTTCTTTTTGTGTTTGTTGTTTTTAATAAAGTCACTATCTCTCTTTGTTTACGACATTGTGATGATGACATTAATGAACAAAATATTTGAAAACAAAGTGCGTAATGTGTTTTTATTAGTAATGATGAAATAAGAGAAAGAAAACCCAAAACAAAAGAGAAAAGCATATAATGTGACATTGATGTCCGCAAATGTAGAAACCTTATTGTAAACAGTACGAATAATATGTGTAAACAAAGGTAAATGCTTTCATGATTCAAAGGTAAAATTTGGTTGCTTATTGGAGACATACCGCGCTCGCCCTTCAAAGTTTATACTCTGTTATCGACAAGGTAGGCTATGTCCGCATGATGATTAATATTGTAAGATAATTATTGAAGTTATTTTTCAAACGAAAACAACACTATTGTTTACGACTCCGTATAAATACGCAGCGCAAAAACGAAAACTATTACATTTTCAAACGAATAGAAAAGTACAATGCAAACAATCGCATATCTTGCCGCTGTTATTCTTTCAATTCTAGTAATCGGAGGTGAGCAACTTGTAAAAAAAGATTATTTTAATACCGTTTTGCTGTAGGCTCATTTGGAATACCAACTAGAAAGGTGGAATGTCCACTTGGTAAATCTATGGTACATTGCCTCGTCAATCCATGCTCTGTAAGTTCTTCATATTGTACTAGCTTTTAATAGATTTTATTAATCCTAGATATCAAAATGTCCAGGAGATAAAAAAGCAACGTGCATCGCTGACTGTTGCGGTGGATGCAATGCTCTTTGGTTCGGTGTTGATGGCAGAGAAGCAAAATGCAATGAAAAACCTGCTTGTCCAAACGGTCAGGAGAAAGTTCAATGTCTGAAAGATCCATGTCAAGTAAGTTAAAACTGCTAACTTATATATTTTCGTCTTTACGAAAGCTTTTCAATAGGGAGCAACATGTCCAGCATATCCTAAGGCAACATGTGTCTCGAACAATTGTGGAAGCTGCAAAGCTCAATGGTATAAAGCTGATGGTACTCCAGTGAACTGTATTAAATCATTGCCATGTTCACCTAGGCAGACTCAAGTTAAATGTCTGAAAGATCCATGTCAAGTAAGTTAAAATGACTAACATTTATGTGTTGTTTTTTACGAAAACTTTTCAATAGGGAGCAACATGTCCAGCGTGTCCATCCGCTAAATGTGTCCCAAACTATTGCGATGGATGTCATGCTCTATGGTATAAA